TTGAGTTACTAAAGCTGACCAGGCAAACTGCTCGCTCCAAACTTGTCCGTTTTTTTGGAGCCAAAAGGCAGATCGCTAGATATGATTGACATGATGAGGCATAGGTAGGCGGTGATATTGATCATAATGTGGTCAAAACAATAATAAACCATCCCCCAAATCACCATAAATGCTTGGTATAAGCCATTCCCAAATGAGTGGTTTATTATTGTTTTAACCACATTATCCAATAATTTGAACATACCGCAAAGTATCTCTTTAAAATGATTTTTCTATCCAATACCGTTAGTCTGTGTGTGTGTTTTTTTTTGCGATCATGGTATGATCGTCCCGAAATTGGGGTGATAAGCCATGGACCACAAATAGTTCGATGATAAATTTACCATGTGTTTAGCTTAAGTTGTGATTTCTCATAGCTGTAATTCATATACCTGTTGGATCATGGCGGTATCCTCTGGTAACATAGCGAACTGGAACACCACCATTTTTTTAGATTTTTAATAGCAAAATCAACTAATCAACTATAAATGTCATGCGTCATTTTCCATAGCTATGTATAGCTATCTTACTTTACCCTAGGCTATCCGGTTTTTTTTTGCAGATGAAAACCCTGATGTCTCGACAGAAACCAGGTTTCTCGAATCCGCTTGCCCAGCGTGTCACACGACAGCATTGGCGTTGCATGATTCGTACCTACCCTCTGGTTATGTCAAAATAGCTATTAAAGCCATGGCCATTTATAGTGGATTTACCCATTACAGTAAATATGGTGATTTTCCAAGCATCGATGTCCTTTTCCCATTGGTTGGTTGGTTAATAGAGGCGTTTGTTTATCCCTTTAACATCTTTAACAACAGGTTTCTATGATGATAGATGGTATACCAGCTCCCGGCCCCTCCATGTTTACCAAAAGGACATTGGTACCAAGATGCAACTTGATAATTCGTAGCTAACCAAAACTACCATAACAGTCCCTACTAAGTTATCTGTTAAAAATCAAACAGTATGCGACCTACCATAACTTGTTGACTGTTAGCAAGATGATTCCTCTTCTCAAATGTTGTGTTTTTGGTTGACATGGTTGACTATGACACTTCTCGCTCTTAATTTCTTCGTAAACATCTTGCATGGAAGACACAACAGATAGGGTGAACAAGCCTGCTGAAGTTTGCGACCGGAAGTGGTTCCGACCCACAGATGGATCAAAACTCATAGACGATCTTTGGTAACCTTTGGTGCATATGGTCTGCAGCTACCAGTAAATATATAATTGATGGTGTAATTGCCAGTAATTACTGGGATCTTAACCGCACCCACATCTATGTATATATATATATATATATACAGTATATATATATAGATAGATAGATAGATACATACAGATACATACAGTATATATATATATACATATACATATACATAGATATCCATTTTTGGTGTGGCATACTTCCATGTATTTTTGGCATAGCCCGCTGTCACGCAAAAATCATCTCGTGATGTGACCAAGGGATGTGGAAAGATGTCAAAGTACTCCAGCATTACCCCGTTGTGTGAAGCGTCTGGCAGACGCCTGTGCCTTCGGGGAAGGGAATGGCTGGCATGTGGCCGAGAGATATGTCAAGATATGTCAAAATATGTCAGAAGACCTTTTGGGATATATTGGTCATTCAACCACGATACCCGGTGTTGGGTGTTGGTGGTGGTGGGATTGAGACTCTGATGAGTGCTGGGCCCCCATGTGTGCAAGGGGTTCGGCACTTTCCCTTGTACATAGACGCATGGTAATGTGACTTCTACCATGTAAAGTCTTCATGATCCCTTCCTCTTGCCTGAATCTAGATCGATCATAGATTTCACAAAGATTCATAGATTTTGTTGATTCGGTTTTATTTTTATATATTAATGTGTATTTCTTTGAAACCAAGCTTGGGAAACTTTCCTGTATATCTACCTGGTGGCTTCCAAATAGCCTAGGGGCCTAGGGTAAACTAAGATAGATACAAAAAAGATAATAATTAATAATTTCTATATGTTTTTCGTGGGGAAACCACAGATTTTCCACATCTACCTTAATTTACCCTAGGTGGATGGCTCACCGCCTGACGAATCCAGCGTTGGATGGTCTTTGGCTCAAGCCACGACGCGTCGATCCGTCGCGCAGGCGCGTTTCCTAAGTCATGGTGATTTGCGGGTCCATGGATGTTTTTATGGGAAAATCCACTATAAATGGATGTCAAAAAAAAAAAACATGGACAGCTTTTTTAACGCTGTCGACTGAACTATGAGGGTCGAAGTGATCCATCAGCATGTTGTGATGAGAAAATAACAATTGAACCATTAAAATATAGAATTGTTGATCGGTTGTTCTAGGGTTTTACGATAGGTTTTACGATGTTTTACTACCTTTTGTTGTTGAGGGTTATGATAACATATGGTGATAACATATGGAAAACCATAACGGAGATATCGATCAACCAAGCAACATGGATGGGATGTTTGACACACATGGGATGATGACTGGATCAGTGAACAGCCCACCAAAACACTACAGCTACCCTCTGGTAATTTAACAGTTAGCTATGGAAAATGTCCCATTTATATATAGTTGATTTACCTAACTAAAAGATGGTGAATTTCCAGTTCGCGATGTTAAATTACCAGAGGGTATATGTTAATAATATGTTATGATATGTCCAGTTCGCGAAGATGTTTTTCACGATCATAGATTTTTCACACCATTGTCACGGACAACTTCAGCGGCTCTAATTCTAATGCAACACAGTCAGTGCAAAAATCGGTCGGGATCCCGGATCCGGATCCGTTGAGAGGTTGGTTTCGTGGTTCCTTTGCTGAACGCTTTACGAAGCACAAACTTTTTACTGGGAACGTTTGGGAAGCCCAGGTAGGCGATGGAGGGTTTGGCGAAAGTAAGTGACCAGTTGAATGGCGAATGGCGAACAAAAGGCTATTATAGCATAGTTTAACCACATAGCATGTTAAGCACGAAATAAAGTCTATCTGATGTTTGTTCCACTCAGAATCTGGAGTTTTTCACGGGTACAGGGTACAGAATCTATGGTTAGCCATGATATGCAATGAGTATAGCAATACTCTTGGGGTACCTCGAAGATCCCTAGCCACTCAGTTGGCCTATCGCCGATAATTGCTGGATACTCCCACAATGGCTGTTTTAATGGAGAACATGATGATTAATTAACCATTGAATTTGGGTACATGCCATTTTTGGACAAAGCGATATCCATCCGTATGCATCCGTATCCATCGATATCCATCCTTCATGATGCCTATATAGAGAGACAAAAACCTCACGCGTTCTTAGTTCAAGACACTTCAAAATATGGATAGTCAAATGGTAGGGGACCAGAATCCATATGACAGCTTCTCTACTCCCAACGAAGCGCGCTAGTTTGGACGCCCTATGTAGCATACTGTTTATGGTTGCGAAATCCTGCACCAGTTGGTAACGATTGGTGACATCATTCACTGCAAATTTCATGGGATGATCATGTGACAAACTAATGGGATAAACCATCAAACACTGGCATAGCCAATTATAATGGGATAATTAGATGGCTATGGATCAATACCTATACATACCATTTTTAGGGGGATGAACATCCATTTACCAGCTATCTTGATGTTCACCAGGGGTACAAGGTTTTGACACACTGCCAGATTATCTAATGGGATGTTTCCCATCTACCAACTGGTGCACGATTTCATACGATTTCTCAACCTGGATGGACCTGAGGCGAATTGGCAAGTGCCAAAGACAAGGCACAGCTTTGGTGGCGGTGTCCCGAAAAGGCATGGCTTATGGCGAGTAAGATAGATGCTTCACATATATATATATATACTCACATATATATACATATATAATCATATATACATTATATATATATATCAGTGTTCATACATATATACATATAATATATAATTTTGAGACAGCAATTGTGAATGTTGATCGTCAGCATCTTTATGTTCAACTCCTTCAACTCTGGTCACCAGCTGACGAGTTGTCCATGTGTTGTTTCGCTCCTATTTCCGGAAAGCCCAAGCGGTGATATTATATAACCTTAGTTTAATGTTTGTTGCTGCATCATCCCCATTGTAGTTCGAAAGAATTCGAAATAACCCTGATAAACCCAACAGTCATTGAGTTTTCTAGGATCCCCTAGATAGCTAAATTGGTTTATATCTCCAATGACTCCTATAGGTGACTAATGACGTATATCTATAGTTCATGGGGATTATAAACCAACAAACATCACTGGGGGACCCTGAAAGCCCCAAAAGTCCAAAAGGGTCAAGCTTTGAAGCGTGGCAAAATAACAAAAACGGAAGCCCAGCCATTTTGGCAGGATACTATTTAATTACTAGATTTTGTGTAACCCCCAAAAGAATCCAAGGGATATATATATATATACGTACATACATACATACATTACATTACATTACATTACATTACATTACATTACATTACATTACATACATACATTACATACATACATATAGCCCTATATATATACATATACATTACATTACATACATACATATAGCCCTATATATATATGTATAGCCCTATATATATATATATGTGTGTATAGCCCTGTATATATATATAGCCCTATATATATACATATACATTACATTACATACATACATATAGCCCTATATATATATGTATAGCCCTATATATATGTGTGTATAGCCCTGTATATATATAGCCCTATATATATATATAGCCCTATATATATAGCCCTGTATATATATATGCCCATATATATATATTTAGCACTGTATATATTTATATATATAGCGCCATGTATATATATATATACATATATATAAATATATGTTATATAGTTCAGAGAAAATTGTACCATAATTTGATCATTTAATTCGGAGGTGTCGCTATCAGCGTTACACTCATCCAAGGCCCCCTCCGGCCAGGGGCTTGATCCATCAGCCTTGGGAAGATGCAGAACATGAACGGAATGCAGGACGCCCGGGCGGGGTGATGTTTGATGCAAAAAGCATTGGAGGACCTATCATGACCGGGCCCCCAAAATCGCCGAACTTTTCAGGTCAGCGAAAAACATATATATTGGTTTTTACAATCGTTGACCTCGATTGCATGTGTAGTATATGTGCACGTAACTCAGTATAACGCTATTTATATGTACGGATGTAGATATAAACTGAGGATTGCATATGTGATACAGATCGCCATTGGCAGATCTTTTCTCATCCTTGTCTCAGGGCATGAACATCCAGATGCTCGGAAACATGAATGGTGGGATGCAGAATATGTTCCTTGTCCTTGAGCGGTGGAGAAGGATAGGAGGATGTGAATCCGGTTCATCCTTCCGTAAGGGTGCCCTATTCTATATGTTAACGGCTGTATACCACTACTATACCATCAATATACGAGACGTCATTGATACTTCCATGTCAATATCATATATATATATATATACCAATCATATCATTATATCTTTGTTTAGGTATACCATTACTATGCCATCAATATATCCACATTCAGGCGGAGATCCGCCTGAGGCAGTGGCAGGCTGTGGCTGGTCAAGGGCAGCAACAGTGTGGCGGCTGTCAGCCCTGCGTGGGGCCCAGCCGAAGCGGAGGTTGAGATGCGGCTGGTCAACCCTTTAGTGATGTGAATGTTGGTTTATAAACCCAATAGAAACATCCATTAGTCCATTAACTAGTTTGTTATATCTACCATAAACCATAGAATTTAGCCACTTTTGGCAACTGAACGCTATCGACTCTGGGGCCCCATCCTGTAGGAATGTGGTAAACCATGGGAAACCCAGTGCCATAAACCATCAATGAATGGCTGGTCGAAGGTGGAGGTGGGGCAGTATGAAACAGGAAAGGCTGAGCTTGGAAAGATGATTAAACATATTTTGGAATGATTCTTGAAATATTCAGAAACATCAGTTGAATTGATTTGAGACAATATCATGATTTTAGACATATTTAGCCATAGTCTACAAATATTTGCATCCAATTTCAATGAGGGCTCAGATTGGCTATCCGTAGGTGATGAAATTTATCACCTATTTTAGATTATGTTGGTGTGAACAGTTCAGGGTACCAGGATGAAGCGACGGTCAACCCTGGTCTGATACTTTACTGATTGGTGGTGACTGGAACCATGAATGGATTATGACTTTCCATTCAGTTGGGAATGTCATAATTCCAACTGACGAACTCATGTTTTTCAGAGGGGTAGGTCAACCACCAACCAGCTTTAGTACTTTATTTTTTGCTATCAATGGCAAACTATGGTAAAATGATGTAAAATGTACACTCACCAGCTAAGAATTGGATGGTTTTGACAGGTATCTAAGATTGACAATGGCAAACCTTGACCAGCGCTGAGGTATGCAATCAATGCAGGGCATGACGCAGAGCCAGCAGAATGGTGGCAATTCCCAACAGATGCAAGGCGATGTTTCACTGTTGCACAGAGAAATCGGAGGGAATTCTCTGGAAAAAGGTTGTTCATATGTGATCATATGTGTATGTATATGATTATACGTTAATTTATGTGTGTGTATGTATGTACCTTTATTATACACAATATATGTATATCTGTATCTCTGTATCTTTATTATACACCACACACACACACACATACACACACAAGGACATATATCGCATGAATCTAGGCAGACATGTATTCAGGAAGTGGCTCCTAGCCATGGTTGAAATCCAGTTATCAGATTGGATAAAGTCCACCTATATAGGTATGGATGATATTGCTACAAACTGTTGGTAATATCAAGTTATATCTATCAACCTTCATTTTTTAAAGCTTTGCTAGTCCTGACTGATCCTGACTGCTGAACTTTGTTGTTAGAAGATCCTCTCGGGTGGCGATGTATGGTGGCGCTTTCGAGGTATGCAGAACTGCCAAGCCCAAACCATCTTCGCTCCTATGCAACCCATGCAGAACGTGGGAACCCGAGAGGATTATCAAGGATTACTCCGGAAAAAGGAACCAGCAACAGAGAAATTGAGGAACTGGATATGATCATAGAGTCCCAGATCTTATATGGAGATATATGGAACTTCCTCAATTTCTCCATAGATAATTATATAGTTTATTTCACACTTTTATGTGTCGAAAAATGTGGGATAATTTCAGGGACCCAGAAGATACAACCAACGAAAAATGGGTGGTGAGTCAACACTTTTATGATCTTTTTTCAAGTGTCCCAGAAAAATGTGGGGATAATTTCAGGGACAACCAGGAAAATCTGGGACAACATGGAGATACCCTCTGGTAATTTGTTACATAGCTATTGAAAATGGCTATAAAAATAGTGGATTTTCCCATTAAAAATGGTGATTTTCCATAGTTTTTTGTATGTTTACCAGGCCGGGTACTCTCCCAACGAAAAATGCTGAGTCGATACCTCGAAGACCACGGGGTCATCCCAACACGATCGGTGTGGCTTCACCACCACAATAAAAGGGGCCCCCATAGGGAACAAGAAAGCCAGTTTATAAACCACTTGGTTTGTTTATAAACCGTATACATATTATATATATATATCAATATATATATATATCAATATATATATATATATACTGTGTATCTGAGTAAATTATTATAGTGACCTCACTGTGACATCAGTGGAATGATGGCTTACTGTATAATTTTGGGCAACTATCCCAAAATAGCCGTAAATCTGATTTACGCGGACATAGTATATAATTTAGCAAGAATATACATATTACACACATACAATCACATACACAGCTTATGAGTTTTTATGATGTCATACAAACAGTAAATACTTTATGCCTCTATATATATATACACATATATATATATATATATGTATATGTGTATATATATATATATACATTGAATCCCATCCCCCTAAAATTACACTGTCCCATTCTATGGTCCCCAAAAACAAATGTATTTATCCCCTACATCCTCCGCGTGGTTTCTGGGGTGCACGGTCCCCACCGGGACCTTGGACATTGGAGGACCCCACCGGAAAACCTTAGGATTTTTGTTCCTGGTTCATGGGAAAAAAAAAACTAGGAAAATGATGGAACAGTGTCATTTAAGCAACAAAAAGTATCAAAATTGAATTTATTGAGATCTGAAAAGCTGATTTATGACAAGTGGTTAGTGAAAACCAACAAATGGGATCATCCAGGAAAAGGGATCGAATCTCGCCAGGAGTCTTCACCATTGACTGTTGGTCCAAGTGGGATCCTCCAAGTCCCTTGGTAAATGGTTGGTAAATGGTTGAAACATGTTGAAAATATGGGTGATATATCCCGGAATTGTGAATCAGATGATGCCACTATCAATGGCTATGAATTTTGGCCATGAACTGCACGGAACCTCCACCTCCTGGATGGTATCTCCAGGTCCAATTCATCCAAGTGCCAACTACGATGTCCCTCCCTGCAGGGATGCAGCTGATGCAACTGGGATGTTTTGATCTGTGGTGAGTTTTAAGACCTGTTTCTAGTACAAAACCCTGAAATTCTGTGCTTGATCTACAAGGTGGTGCCCCAGGAAGTCAGCTAAGTTGGTTTACAACTCCAATAACTATGGTTTATGGTATACCTGGTAGATATATATATATACTTATTATGGTTCATAAACCAACTTATAACTGGGGGGCACCACCTTGTATGTGTTTGCCATGGACATCATTGATAAGTTTCTGGCTCATTGGATTGGTTTAGGGGAAAAATATGACAGGACAACTATAGAACTAGTACTAAAAAGCTCATCTGGTTGGTGGTTTGGAACATGACTTTTATTATTTTCCATATAATATTGGGAATGTCATCATCCCAACTGACTTTCAGTCCATCATTCTTCAGGGGGGTAGGCGAGCTCAACCACCAACCAGTCATGGTTTCCTGGAGACTTCCTCTTGAACCAATCCGTCCAGGGAGCTGATCATATGCATATGGTATACTCGGATCAACATTTACGGTTTCAGGAAAAACAAAGTGTCCAATGATAGGGATGATACCCAATTCGACTCATGTCTTCACATCTTCACATCTATGACTTTACCATAATTTCTCCAAAAAAATCCATGACATGATCCGATTCAATTGTACACAAGTAATCGGTGAATACTTGGAGGATCATCCCACGGTCCCACGGTCCTGGTGGTTGTGATGAATGAACCTGGTGAACGGATTTGTCAACATTCAGCAGCTTATCCCATTTATAAATAAATAAATAGCCACTAAGCTGCTTGGCTGTCATGAATCAGCTATATACATCTCATGAAATCCCCAATTTTGTTGGTTAAATGACAATTGTCCATCATTTTCCTATAGTTTTTGTATGTTTTTGTTCCATGAAGCAACCCAGAACCACAAACCGTCATCCCCGGCACCGCTTGGAGAGGGGAGGTCACAACTCGGCGCCCGAGGCCCATGAATTGCCAGCAGATGATGGTTCCCAAGGAGACGATGTTCCCGGTGTTCCCCAAAATGGATCAATGGGTTCTGCACATCCCAAGCTGGTTGGTGGTTTCAACCATGAATTTTATTTTCCATTTCATATATGGGATGTCATCCTTGCCATTGATGAACTCCATCATTTTTCAAGATGGTTATTGCACCACCAACCAGCAAGATTGTCTTTCCTGTCCAGCTTTAGGATTTTTAGGATGTCCGGATCTCCTGGCATTCTCTGTATGGGCCCCTGGCAGAGGAGTGGAATGGCAACAACGGTGGGAACTTTGATCAGGGACAGAATTTCATGGTCGGGACTCTCAGTGCGCAAGCGCAAGCGGTGCGACAACGGGGGTAGCTTAAACGTGACCGGTTGCGACAACGGGGAAGCAAAAGGACTGAACAAGCAAATATATGGGGAAACAAACTAGTGAATCATGGGTTCTTCGATGTTCTTCGTTTGCGTTTGGAAGTTTGAACAAGTTTGAAGGGTATTAAACAGTAGCCATAAGGAAACTTACGGAAACCTCGGAAACCAAGGGATTTGACCTTAGCCATCTTTATCCATGCCTGTGGTGGCATCAAAACATCCCACAATTTGGCTGCCTTCCGCAAGGATTACAGCAATTTCTAGCGCTCTGAATCTTCCTTGACAGTGGAAGACATGTCATATCATTATCATATCATTTACATCATAATAATGTTTGTTTCACAATTTACCTTTGTAAATCCTTTGTATATTTGAATTCAAAACAATTAAGGGCTTTCCGCATTTCACTAATTGTTCGCCACTCACCAGGAGACCTAGTTGATGCCCATCCAGTCAAGACCGCCCTTAGAAATTGGGGGAACTGAGGTTAAGAACAACTTCGTGAATCAGGCACTAGTGCCTTGGGGGAGGTTACTTTTGAACGCGTTTGTGCCAATCTCAGGTAGCTTGCAGACAGAAAGAATCACTTCAATGATCCATTTCACATCATTTAATATTTAACCAATAAAAATTACCCAACAATGGAAAATTTAGATGAATTGAGCATGTTTTAGCAATTTATTATAATAGTTATTGTATCATTTGAGTCTTTCATCGAAGTCTACGGGTCCCCTAAGCCCCTTCAGCTTCCACGGTCGACATGGACTTTTTTCGACTCCTTTGCGTTTGACCACTGTGATTGAAAAGCAATAGGAGACCCAAAAATGTGGCCCCTTAATAACAAAAGACTAACCTTGGGGTGTAAGGTGTTGGTTTGATTAGTGGGAAAACTTCAAAATCCAATGTTTGGCAATATGTTACGTTGATTATAAAAATGATTTACATTGATTTCTAAAACTTCCTTCCAAATGATAAATACCTCCTATATACATACATATATATAGTAATAAAGTTGCTCAAGGTGGTGTTTATTACATGTGTAGGGGAACCGTTTAGTATTAGGGGAAAGGAACACGTGTGTGTATGTATATATATATATATAGATAGATTAATAATCAGTACCCCCTCCATAGGAAGTACATAGTAATAACGCCGAATTTGACGTCGCTCCCTAGCTCAGGGAACATATATATTTGGATAGGTTGATAATAAATTCCCCCTATAGTTACTACTCCAGGTGTTTATTACATTTGGGGGAAGCCGTTTAGTATTATGGGGAATTGAAGGGAGAACATATATATATGTGTTTATGTATTTATTTGGATAGATTAGTAAATACACCCTATTGCCCCCTATATAGTAAAAATATAGCAATAAAGACTACTCCAGGTGTTTATTAGATGTGGGGGATGCCATTTAGTATTAGGGGGAAGGGAAAACATCTATATCTGGACAGATGAAATTCGACGTTTTATCAAAAGGGGAATCATCCGCAAGTGATTACTATTTCAGGTTGGTGAATCATCAACAAGCATCAGAGTGTGCTGCCAGAGAACACAGAAGCCGGTGCTGACTTTCAGTTAAACATGCAGCAGAATGCAGAGGCTACATCATCCGGGCCAAGCAACTGAATTCACAGTAGTTGTGCACACTGCTGACTATATTGAGGAAGAAATCATGTCATTGAACCAGAATTAGACATGCCCTAATTAGACATGCCAAGACCAACAAATTACCTGATGTTGTGCTTCTGAAAATGCCTGGAAATTGTGAGCTCTGCGAAGCTTAACTCTGACTTGGTGCAACAAAATGACGATGGGGCCATGAACGCTGTGACCTGCTTATATGTGATATCTACCTAGTGTATCTCACAAATGTGTGGTGATACTACTCTCACTCGTAGTCTGTAAGCGTTGGGTCTTGTTATATTTGTCGCATATGAGATTGGACTCACATATACTCTTGACTGATAACTGTAGACCCAAGTATGTAGGTTGCATTCAGAATTGTTTAACAGGAAGTGATATTGAAATCATAGATATCATAGTATCTGTTAGTCAGGATTGTATCACTAAAATATGGTTATAGTATCTGATAGATACACTAATATCTGGTAGTCAGATTATATGTCATAGTATCTATATAATTATATTATCTCCCTATACAATGGGTGATTTTCCCTTAAACCCATCCAGATGTCAGGAGCAAACGGTGCCGGGCACACGTTGCGCTGGCGAGGGCTCCCGAGTTCTGACACGACGTTGCGTCGTTTCAGTTGGAGGGATTCAGCCAGAAAATGGTGGTTTCAACGCCACACAAATGGTGAGTTAGATTGATTTAGCATGTTCACCATGTTTTAGCAACTTCCTTATTCATGGTTCATAATCTGGTTGGTGTTTTCTGTATATATCTGTATATAGCGCCGGACAACTACTTAGAACATCGTTTTGGAAATTTTTCGGTGGGTACGCGCGCTCTACTTAGAACATTTTCGGCGAATAGGGGGACGTATGTTCTAAGTGACTTAGAACATATGAGGATCCTCTACTTAGAACATGCCATCATATATACATGTAAATATATGTATATGTATACATACATACAACTTAACACTGCATATTTATATTATATATACAGGTGGTGTGATGTTGCGTTAAGATACATGGAGATGTCTATATTGAGCGGTTGGAATGGTCCAAAGCCTACAGCGGGACGAGATTCGAGATAAATAGGTACATATATTGAGCTGAACAAAATGAGCGAATGGATCCGGATGCTCTAGGTGAGAGGCTACAATTCGAACATCAGGTTTGGAAAGTTTTTATTATATGAATATATAGTGCCGGACAACTACAATATTAAAAATATATTATATATACACAGGATTTTCCAAAAATGCACGTAGATAGCTGGGGAGATTCTTACTTAGAACATGGGGGAACCCCCAAAACCTCTACTTAGAACATCCCGTGAACATATATGTTCTAAGTAGTGGTCCAGGATCTCTACTTAGAACATGTTTTGGAATTCCAAAACCAATGTTCTAAGTATATGTCCGGCACTATATATCTGTATATTCCTCTAGTATCTTGTTAGGTCCTGATGTTCTCCGTTCATCCTGGAGATTGGTTCCATTCAGAAGCTTTCTTCGTTCCATGCCGTGGATCCCGACGGTAGCAATACGTACGGTATACCTGGTGGCAATCCCAAAATAGGGAAAGTTGGGACATCTGGAGAATATGAGCTACATTGAGCTACATATCACAAACTCCTGAGAAACACGTCTATTCTGCATGGTTTTTGGGGGTTAAGCAGGGAAATGGATGGCTCAGCACCGGATCACCTCGCCAGGTGAAAAGGAGTTGGTGCAGCAAACCACGCCCGAGGCATACGGGATTTCCATCCCCCAAACTCGATGGGTAGTGGAAAATACTTGATTTTCTTGCTATTTTGATGGCTGGATTGATTTTGTTCAAAAATCTCCAGCAAAAGATGCTTTTTTCATGGGATTTTTCATGGCAATCGAATTTTCACTTCTTGTGTTCTGCACCATGGGATGATCCTTAGATTGATCAGACCATATCAGACCATATCAGACGGTCGATAACTGGGGGTACCCCCATGACTTCGGAAACCCGGAAACCTCCATGACTGGGATAGATGATCGAATCCACCTTGTACATCCTTGTGACGCATCTTTTCACCACGGCACAAATCCTATTTGATTGAGAGAACTGTTCTATCTTTTGGCGACCCCAAGAATTACGCGAATGGGATGTGTGTTGAGCAAATGGGTAAGCAGATGTAAGCAGTCTTTTTGCAGTTGCAATGGATGGGCTGGAATATGTATGTGTGTGGTAGAGTTGCCAGCCTGAGTTTACCAACCTTTGCAGGCGAAAAAGACCTCTACATCAGTGTGTACGTTCCCGTTCTTGTTGGCATACCATATCGTTTCTGTTCTATTCAAGACTTTGCCGCTTCTGGCCTCCTTGATTCGGTTCACATCCAAAGTTGTTTTCTTTTTCTGAAACTAGGGTGCAAGAAAAGATGGTGAAGAAGCATGTTCACTTTACCCTCTGGTAAATGAACATACTGTGGATGGAAGAAATCCTACACCAGTTGCGAACTATTAGGTACCTACGAAACACTCGAAATAAGGATTGGCATGGGAAAAAGCATCTACCAACTGGTGCAGGGTTTCGCAACCATCCACCATAGCTATGGAAAATGGCCATTTATAGTTGTTTTACACAGACATTACCATTAAAAATGAATATTAATGACCTCTTAAATGGTGATTTACATAAAACTTATGGCCTCTTAACATGGCCATTAAAATGTTGATTTTCCAGTTCGATATGTCAAATTACCAGAGGGTCAACACTATTTCCTCGGTGTCCTCGGTGTTGTTTTCCTGCTGCACTCAGGGCTCTGAAGAAGACTTCATTCATGAAGGTGGGGAATGGAGAGGCGGAGAAGTGTGAGAACTATCATGGTGATAATATGTATTAATAGTATGAATAACCAAGGAAAATCGGGAATTGTATATATATATACGTTCAAAATTATAAGGGCCTCACGGCGTGACGTCACTGGAATGATGGTTTTGACATGAGGAATCATACCCCACATGTCCCTCTTTCAGCCATTTTCAGGTCAGCAAACTATTTCAATTCAGCCAGATTTATAGGGATTTATATCTGACCATTCATGGGATTGAGCAAACCCCTTAGGCCCCTTCAAGATGGTTGCTGAACGGATTGCTTCCATTTGGGGCGTTGGAGGGACCAGTATGCTCCAGATGTATGTTCAAATAATCTTAGATAAGTTGTAGGACCCCTGATCAATGGGAATTTAATAGAGATATAGAGGTACTGTAAAGCCATATGTTGCGGGCAGATCTCCAATTTAATTGAGGTAATTGAAATGGCCATTGATATGATTTCTGGTGTGTTTTGGTTAATGGAGTTTATGAGAATCTTGTATCATTTCTCAAAACTTCCACTTGCTCCCACTCTGGGTGTGTTAAATTAAACCGGAACACCAAAAAACATGCTCTGTCCAGAACTTCAGGGGAACATCCCCAAATCTTATAGATTTACAGTGTATCACGATGTTTCTTCATAGAATTGCCTTCAATGGGGGAGTATTAGCCACATAAAAAAGACACAGCCTAGTTGTTTCATGAATTGTCGATGATAAATCCAATTACCAAAGAAAATCCTGTTTGAAACCAGCTTGAAATATGGTGAACATCCAATGAAACCAGCTTGAAATATGGTGAAATATGTTTTTTTTTTAAATGGATGAAATCCTGTTTGTATGATTACCTAAAATGTTTGATATCCTATCATATCAGCCAATGTTTTTTATGGATGAAATCCTGTTTTTGGTTTGACTCCCAAGGGATCTCACCAATTGAAAATTTCGCGCTCGCAGGCGCCAACAGCCGTCAGGCCATCAGCGGCTTTGAGGAAGTGCAGATGGGTATTTTTCACAGATTTCATGAGATTTTTCAGATTTTTTTGTCGGTGATTTGATGGTGATTTGGAAATAGGATTTATTGGGATATTTAAAACTCGTTTCATAGGATCAAACCATCTCCAAGGAGATTTGACCATTTTATGGGGATATCCTGGGAGTTATCTTTTGGGGTATGTATAAAGTTATCTTTTGGGCACGGGGTTTCAATCATAGAGTATGTTTTTAATGCTCTTTGAGCTGTGTGACTCAAGTTCTTTTAATGCACCAGGAATGGGATGGGGACGAAAATCACCCATTTTTTGAGGGAAACTACCCTCTGGTAAACTAACATAGCTGTAGAAAATACCCAATTTATAGTGGATTTCCCATTAAACATGGTGATTTTCTATAGTTTTTTGTATGTTTACCAGGCCGGGTAATCTTCCAGACCCTACCTGGCAGGGTCGTCATATTAATGGAGGCTGAGACTGAGTCCTGCTTAGCCAGGTCTCCGACACGGCAATGAAGAACAACGGCCAATTCCTGTCTTGGAAGCCCAGGAAAACAACACGGAAAACAACTTTTAGAGCTTGTTCGACACGTTTTTGTTCATAGAAAAAATATTTTTGTGTTCTTTGGATACATGGTTATTGATCATTTATGGTTATTATTGGCCACTTTTCCATACTTTTCCAATTAATTGTTAAAGAAATAGAAACTGGTCACGTCGGATTGTTTTTTCCCGAATGGCACGGAGCCGAGGATCATTTCCGGCGCGAACTCTCCTTTGAAAGCGGCCGGGAGACCCAAAAATCATCAGAATTGGCCAAGCGCACTGAAGAGCGAGTTTTCCCGAGAATTAAATATGGCTCAGTCATATATATATATATATATATATGTATTATATATATACACATAAATAGGTATAATCTCTAAAACATATCTATACATAGAAAACACATCATGGTATCATGATATATATATACAGATCAATTTCCTGTGTAGATATACATACACACTACCATTGAAAAGTTCAAGACACAAGTTTGACACTTCGTCGTCCAAGTTGGATACCATTAACCATAATCCCAATAAAATAACCAAGCAACTGTCATAATGATACCAATACTATAGATATATTTATGTGTAATTATGTATACCCATGAAAAAATACACCTGATCCAAAGTGAATATATAGTTGGTATGTATTTTCCATATATATATACATGATATATATGATATATATGATATATATGATATATATGATATATATGATATATATGATATATATGATATATATGATATATATGGTATATATGATATATATGATATATATATGATATATATATGATACAATGATACATATATATATATATGACATATATGATATGTATGATATATATATAATATCATATATATATATTAGACATGAATATGTATGTGAGCTAGAAAAGAAACATAAGCACACATTTTCCAAATATTCGCCACACCATCTTGTAAACGAACAGTTCGATGTGGAGTTCACCCACCAGACATGTGGATGAGAATGTTCCAGGGGAACAGGTGTGGTTTTCCACACCATGGATTTTGATGCCATGGATATCCTCTGATTTTGGTTGTCCAGGAGATGGTTATTATGTTACCATGATATTAAAACCGCATTACACCGGCGACCCCAAACAGTGTGGAGGGTAACACTGTGTGGGGAATATCATAATCAAGCAATTGGGGGGTTCCCAAAAAATTGGGGTACCTCCAGTTATCATCCAGTCGTCGTGAACGACCATGGCTTAGTGTTGAAACAACCATCGCGACCAACTGGGGATCCCCCATGACTTAGGAAACCTCCATATAATTATCATTAAAATGCCATGTTTGAAACATGTTTGGGAATAATAATCCCAACTGACTTTCATATTTTTCAGAGGGGTGGCTCAACCACCAACCAGTATATATAATTATATATATAAGTATGTTTGGCCAATTCTCATAGAATTACCATCTGGTTATTTCACATAGCCACAGGATGGTGCCCCCCAGTTATAAGTTGGTTTATAAACCCCATTAACTATAGTTATATCTGCCATAAACCATAGTTATGGGAGTTATAAAACAACTTAGCTAACTATGGGGCACCACCTTGCATGGAACATCCCTAATTTTTATGGAGGTTTATAGCTGGGAAAATCATCGAAATGGGTCAAGTTACCCGGCTGCCAGGCCTCAGGACAGTCAGGGCTCACCATGGAGCGTCAGTTGCAACAACTCCACTTGGAGCAACAGCAGTGCGCAGCCCAGTTGTGGGAAGGCTTAAGCCCTATACCCTCTGGTAAACATACAAAAAACTATGGAAAATCACCATGTTCAATGGGTAAATCCACTATAAATCACCATTTTCAATAGCTATGTTATAACGACCTCACTGCGACCTCACTGGAATCGTGGTTAGTAAGGGAAATCATCCCCAAATGGCCGAACAATTCAGGTTAGTGAAATATTATAATTTACCCGGATAAATGGATAGACATGGTGATTTAACCTATGAAAACTGTATCTGATTCAATGGTGAATGGGATTTAGATGGAATTCGTTTCTGCGGGGCTTTCAATGGAGGGGGCGACTTTTCCGACACGTCTTCGCCAGCTATGCGCTATGCCCAAGGCTGTTGCGACAGCACCACATGCAACAGCAAGCGCTGGCGCATCAACAACAGATGGAGCTTATGTGACTTGGCTTGACCCCGAAGAGGCTGCCAGAGGTGATCTAAATGGGTATACTTTTGGATACTTATGGGATTTAAACATCTTCAAACCATCTTCAAACCCCTATAAATGGGATATGTTGTGATACATAACCCCTATAAATCTGATAATATGGTGTTTCTTTTTTCGTTGTGCACTCATTTGTAACCTCAACTGCTCGAGTTAATCCCAGGCATCGGTGATGACCCACGGACCCAATGCCTGAGAAAGGCGTGTATCTAACTAGTTGACCCCTCACATGAGATGACGGTGAATTATGCTGATTCAGCCGGAATAGTTAAGTTTAACCTACCAAATAATCATGATTTAATGGGCATGTCGATGGGTTTTGATGGTGATGAATGTGTCTCAGAAATTTTCAAGAAAGAAAAAGTGGGAAAAACATATGAATAACTTTCAAACATGTCCATGAGACAGTTGACAGGGTCGATGCTGACCTCTCAACGAATTCACCAGAGATGCTTAAGCTAGCCTCCAGTGGGACATTGTAATTTGCCCACGCCCAGAAGAGATTCGGAGAGACACCTGATGCATTTTTCCCCAAGGCTCCAATCTGATTTGGAAAAGATGAAATGAGTAAAGTCCGTGTTGAACCAGTTGTTAGTGATGGGTGGCTCAACCACCGGAGAAGGTGGTGTGAGGTGGTTCAAATGGATAACTTCCTTTGTATCTCTCAGTTGGTTTGTAAATGGCTTACATCATATACACATAATATACATATATTCCATAAAATATCGCGGCCATATGGTATTCATGTAGGACGCTTACCTATGAAACGCAACAAGGTTTTTTGGGTGCCATATAGCAGACGGCGTTCACCATCCTTGGCATCAAAGTTCGTGCACATAGTGCATACGATGACACATTAGATGCACACATTGTCATAGCTGTGTTATGAAATAGATTGAAAACGCGTGACATGTGAAACAATATAGTTATAGTATGTTATAGTATTCCTTAATAAGCATACGTTAGCAGAATTTTGGGATTAGAGAATCCAACAACTTGTACAATTTAGTGGATAATATTCATCCAATCCAACAATGTGTTGTATTCTGCAAATTTTGGATTGGATGCTCCTTTGCTGTGCCTTTGTTGGGCTCGTTTAAGTGACATACGTTCCCTTGCGCCACGAGGTATCATTCCCAGCAGCTGCATCCTGGCCTTGGCGGGTTGGCGGGTTGCGGGTTGGAGAACCATTGAGGGATGTCATCCTGGCTTCGTTTAAGGCGATTTTTTATTTTCCCAATGGGAAATCCACCAGGACTGGGGATTTTTTTTGTGAATATGTTTTATTTTTTGGGGACCCCTTAATCCAAATCATGAACCATCATTTACCATCGTTAACCATCATGATAGTGGTTAATTATAGTGGTTAATGATAGTGGTTAATCATAGTGGTTAATGATAGTCGTGGTTAATGATGGTAGTTAATGATGGTGGTTAATGGTGATTAATGATGGTTGATGATGGTTATTCAAGGTTATTCATAAATTGATGATCCATCATTGACCGTCATGGAATTCATTAGTATCCATCATTAATCGTCAAGATTATTCAAGATTAACATATCAAGATGTATACTAATGATTGCTAATGATTGATATTAAGTTGATAATCAGGATACTATCCATCATTAGTAATCATTAATAGTGCGTTCATATGCATCATTCTTCATTGATAACAAAACTATGGTTAATGCGGGCAGCCCAATGCCATGGCTAATTGGTATAATAATGATAGACTGTAGTAGCCACCATCGATGAATTCATTATTAGGTGAACACCCTATTGTTGTGTGTAACAATAAACCTTCAATTGGATAATGGCTAACATAGCCCTCTTTTGGTGAAATATTGATATGGGATGATATGCGATGATAAACTATAGTAATCACAAAAAAAACTCAGAACACGTTAAAATTTCTATTATTTTAGGATTAGAGTTCACCTTTTTTATCTTTCTGGGGGGGTCGCAAAGTCGATAGGGAAACTCACCCCTGAAGCCACCTCTGAATTATAGTGACCTCACTGCGACCTCACTGGAATGATGGTGAGTAATGGGAATTGCCGCCAAATGAACTTATTTCAGTTTCTGGTTGGTGGTTTCAAACATTTTTTATTTTCCATAATATGATATATGTGGGATAATCCTTCCCATTGACGAACTCATATTTTTCAAGATGGTTATTGCACCACCAACCAGGTTTAGTACATGATTATAATTTACACATATTTACACGGATAAATATCACAATTCCCAAGGATTTTGCTGTGAACAGAAGTGTGTTCTATTTGTTTTTTTCCTTATGGCTTACCGATCGCCATCCTCGATGGTTTTCAAAGCTCAGGGAAGCGCTGAAGCGCCTTGGCTGAAGGGAGCGTCTCTCTTGGAATTTCGTTCCCAGCAGGATAGAAAAGTACATGACTCTTTTGGTAGGAATTGATTCTCATCTATTTGTTTCGCTCTTTTAAAAGGGGAAGTTGCTAAGTTGCGGGGTCCCGAAATGATCAACACTTGAATCTCCAGCATGGCTGGGCCTCAGGGGGATACTGACCTTAAAGTCGGCCGGCACGAGGTGATGCAGTTTAGCTACTACCCAGGAAGAAAAGATAACGGAAATCACTGATCCATGTGTTGAGGATTTGCCTCGATTTGTTCCTCTTAAAAGTTGGTTTGTCTGAAATGGAGTACCCCAAAATCTGCTTGTGAATTATCGTGTTCGTATCATTTGATGGCCATAGATTTGGGGTATACCCCATTTTCAGACACACCCATATTAGATATATGGATAGATGTGGTATATACATCTTATATATCCAATTATACCATATTATACCATGTTTTGCACTTGTTGATATCCTATGAATTTCCCCGATGTTCAACATTGCCAGGACCAGATTACCAGCAGGTAGGCGTAACGTCAGCAACACATGGCCACCACAAAACATAATGTATTATATAAACACATGAAATCATATGATAACACGCAAACACATGTGTATTATATATAATTATATAATTATATAATTATATATATATATACATATGTGAGTATATGCTGTAGAAATAACCACCGCTCTTGGACAGCTCAGGGATCTCCATGTTTCCAAAAGCTGATGTTGATCCATCAAGGCACTCTGTGAATGATGGGCCGCAGAACGATGAGATTCAGGACGCCTGGTGCTGCATTTTTGATGATCCACTCTGGGTGAGTTGGGGTTAGTGGATATAACCATTGTAACAACTTCCATCATGTTGGTATGTGACTCGTTATATGACCATTATAACTATCACTGCCGAGGTTATGACATATTATAACCACTTATTAGTCACTAACAAGTGGTATATAACAGAAAACCTCGGCAGTGATAGTGGAACTGTAGCCCTATATGTTCGAGATCACACTGATCACACCATCGAAGCCATAGACACTGTAAACTTTAGACCAATGGATGTTCACCCCTTAGTACGGCTTACGTAAAACGTAACCCCAAGAGTCGATTCAGAAGATGTTAAAATTTACCAGCATTTCAACGGATTTGTCTATGTGTTTCCAGAATTTGACACTGGATTCCATTTTTGTTGCCGGGCTTCCCCAATGACAATCTGCCCAACTCAGTGGGGCTCATATCTTCCCCACAGGAGACTGACGATGAAGATTGCATCGGTCAATACCCACATCAGGCTGGGATCATCATGGGAATATCATGGGAAGCTCCTGACTCCCCATGTAACATTCACTTAGAGAATCACCCGAGTCTCGGTAAATTGCATAATTATATACATAATAGTACATAATACATAATACATATATAAGACATAATACATAATACATAATACATAGTACATAGTACATAATACATAGTATATAATACATAATACATAATACATACATATATATATAAGTAATTATAAGTGTATATACCATAGGTGGAACTTTTTTTGATGACGATTTTCATAATTTTGCCCCCGGGATTCTACCCTACGTAGTTTATTTCAGTAGTGATAGCCTCAAGTTGTGGAGTTTCTCGTGAGGATTCTATGCAGGCTCTAAAAACGATGATGTTTGCAGTCCAGCGTGTCACAGAATATTATGTGGTTGGTGGTTTGGAACATTTTTTATTTTTGCCATATATTGGGAATAATCATCCCAACTGATTAATATTTTTCAGAGGCATTGAAACCACCAACCAGATGGCAACCCCAAAATAGATTTTAAAATTCATGGGAAACCTGGAAATACGAAGCAAATATGATCTAGAACATCCTGGAAACACTGTCCTGTCTTTTTGGATGTTACAACATTGCTGCTCCGTTACTGGTGGGTTTTCGCTGTGATTGCGCCAACCCCAAAGTGAACCACATTGAACCATAATACATCATAATATAATTGTCATCTTTGACATAGCATGTTGCCATTTGAGGAGACTGAAACTCCAATACACGCCGGGAGGTTGTCCAAAATCTGGCTTTCCAATTGATAAACAGTTGATGTTCACTTCTTGCATGTTGTTTCCCACCTGTTTGGCTGGTTGTTTGTGTTCCCACATTGACATATAGGTTTGTTGGGTGTTTCCAGTATCCAGTGTTTCCACCACATTTTTTTGTCATTAAATGTCTTTTGAAACACCCCTTCGGGTGCCTGGAATTTCGAAGACACAGATGATTTTACATGATTTTACAATCAACAATCATCAAGAATCAGTCCCAACTTAGAAAAACTCATGATGATCATCCATGATTATCCCATTATTATCCCATGATTATCCCATTAATATACCATTAATATCGCATTATTTTCCCATGAATATACCATTAATAGATGATCATGAGAAAAAGCCGTTGGAAAACCAGGGCCCCGTGGCCCCAACGGACGGCGGAATGGCTTGGATGTGCGGCGCCCAGCAGTTTTTAGTGCTGGGCTGTTTTAAAATCCTCGCTTACGAAATGGAGGTTTATAGATG